GAGCATATACACATATTTATTATTTTATTATAATATTTTCCAAGTTATACTGTAAGTAATAAAAAAAATAATTCATTTTGATGATGATGATATTACAATTACAGAGACAGCTAGTTTCTGTTAGCTAATAGTGCCTTGAGCACTTAGAGTGGATATGTGCGCTACTGTATACAAATCATTATTATTATCTCCGCCTTGAGATATATGTTTCAGTCATGATGTAAAGCTTGTGTGTGTGTGTGTGTGTGTGGGTGTGTGTAACATCTTCATGTTATGCATGATTTTTTGTGTGCAACATATCTTAAGAAAAGGCTGCACAGACATAATTGAAAATAACAGGGAGTGAGGTATTGAGGTATAACTCAATGAAGGATTAATTAAATTTTGGTGATTGTCCGGAGTAGGGTGTGGATGTGAGGACCAATTAAAGGATTTTAGAGCAAACTTTCTAGACAAGATATTTCAAAAACTAATCAACTGATGTGAATGAAAGTTTAACCAAGTTGCAAGAAAGATATTATGTAGTGTTATCAAGTGTTGATGACGATCCAAATTTGGGTGTGAATTTGAGGGTCATTTAAAATGTCCAAGACCTAAACATGGCAGAAACAATAGATAATGAATATTTAAATTAGTGCAATTACAGTAAAGGTATACAGCATTTTATACTAACTTCACTTTTTTCAGAACTGATTGGATATTTTTAATGCATCTTTACATTTAAACATGTGACGCAAAAAAACCAAATCCTCATATTTCTATTTGCATAATATTTCCATTTCAACACCAATACATGGCAGGTATTTTTTTGGTCAGCTATAACAGTAAAATGTGCCAGTGTGTTGAGCCAGAAGATGTAAGGAATAGGCAGGTGTACAACTGACACAATGAAAAGCATTGATGTCGGTAAAGGACCATTCAAAGCAAAACATCCCAGATCAGATATCTCAAAGCTAATCAACTGACCAGATTAAACTTTTTTTTTAACTTTAAGTAGACGGTGGTTGGAAATTAGAAACATATTTTTGAGGATTTATTATCATTATTGCCTTTTCTCACTAGTAGCTAGAAAAGCCATTGTTTTTGTTCCGATTTTTTTCCCTAATCTTTTTGCACTGGGTTTTTCCGTCCGGCACTTCCGGTCACTTCTTATGCTCGGAACTTTTCCATGATTTGTCAGGTATGTGCCTCCTAAAGTGGGGTGTGGATGTGAGGACCAATTAATGTGATTTAAGGGCAAACAGTCTACACCACATATTTCAAAAATAGGTCAATTGATCTTTGAATGAAACTTTCGGGAAAGTAAACAAGTTAGGAAGGAAGAAATTATGTGTTTGGAGACGATCTAGTTTAGGGTGTAAATTTGAGGGTTATTTAAATTTGTCAGGTCCCAGACCTAGAGTAAATATTAATGGGTATGATTGCAACCTTGTATAACAGTTTGTCAAGGTCTGAATGTTTGTGACAATCCAGAGTAGGGTGTGGATAAGTGGACCATTCAAATGAAAACATCCCAGACCAGATATTTCACACTAACGGATCACCTGATTTAAATGAAACTTTTGGGAAAGTTAAAAGGAAGATATTTTTATTTGTTGGGGACAATCCAGGTTAGAGTGTAAATTTAAGGGTTATTTAATTGCTTACATCCCAGATATAAATGGATGAAAATGAAACTTTGCAGAATATTAGTTTTTCATGGTCAAAGAATGATCAAATTTTGGTGACGATCTGCAGAAGGGTATGGATATGAGGACCATTTAAAAGAAAACGTCCCAGACCAGATATTTTGAAAACGATCTGAACGAAACATATGGGAAAGTTTAACCAAGTTACAAGGAAGAAATTATTGTGTTGGGCATGATCCAGTTTAGGGTGTAAATGTGAGAGTCATTTAAATATCTGATGACCCAAACATAAATCCCTGAAAAGTTGTTAATGGGTCTAAATGTTCACTTTCTGTATATAGTTTGTCAAGGTCAATTCTTATTAGCAAACCACTTTATATAGTTTTGTTCATTGTTTTGTTATATTAATGACAAAATAAAATAATATTATTATTTTGATCTCTCCAACTGTATTACCCTATTAATTTTACATTAATTTCAATTAAAAAAACTTAATTCATAAAAATTTTATTTTAATTTATTTTAAAATAATTTAATTATGGTTTTTGTGTTATAATATTGAAATTGTAATGTTTATTCTTAGTGATAAATCAGGTCGAAAGTTATCCCACAAAGCTTTTACAACGGACAAGAATTCATAAGAACAAGTTTTTTCACTCACCATTCAGAATTAACGAGCACAAAACAACAAAGCAACATTATAGCCATTGAGCTGAGCAGGATAAATCCACCGGTTTGCTGAAATCTTTGTAATGTTCAGCCTTCTACAAAATTTTTACTGAAATAAAAAACATACATTCATCAAAAAAATAGAATTAGGAAAAGAAAAGCAACACACATTAAAATATGTAAATTTTAATTTTAGAATAATACTTGTCCATAGCAAATAAAAAAATTATTTTAATATTATTATTACTATCATCATTAGTTAATTCCAACATTAGGTCAAATAATGAAATTTTATTGTTAATCATTAATGTAATTATTTTAAGAACAAGAATCATATAAATGTATTTTATGTTAATATATATATTTAGGCACGAACGCCAAATTATTCCAGAAGACAATCTGTGGTGCTTTCTATTGTTCTACCAAAACGCGTCTAAAAACATCGTTTGAATAGTGCATCGTTTGGATGCCGATATTCCATTTTGGCCTTTGCTCCTCCCCTTTAACTATGGCCGATTGGATGCACCGTAAAAGGCATCCAATTATTATTAATTATTATTATTATTATAGACAACTCTCTAAAATGAATCATAATACGCCTGACTGTGCGCCCCTATACCCAAGTACGGATTTGTTTACCTGCTAGCGAATGTCTCTTTGTACGCTGCTGAACTGACAGAAGTAAAGTAAACTCAGGGAGGTTCCTGGTTTATGCTAAAAAAATAGTTGGTTGGGTACTGGGACATGGTTCAGTAGGCCTAGTACCGTGCATAGTTGAGACTATTGTAATATTCAGTGATTTTACGAATTGATGAACAAATATAACGTTAAAATTTTTTTTAGTTATTTCCGATGTAGTCGCATGCCACCATCAGTTTTAAGAAGCGCAATCACCCTCCTGTGCAGCTGTGGTAACATCCAGCACAGCAATTAATTGCTCTGCTTGCCATTGAGGGGGATCACATGCTAAGACCCATGCCTCCGAAAACGGTGTCCATGATCAAAGTAGATGAAATTTTGCATTATACAAAGCTAAATTATTCCATTTTATAAAACAATGTTTATTAATTAACTTACGTGAATTTCATGCGAAACACATTTTTTTTTATGCCAAATTTCCCCCGCGAATTTCAACTTGTGAATTCCATAAAAACATGTAAGGCTAAAACCATTGCCTACACAGTAAAGGTTTTACTGACAACTCGCGATATTACTGTAATTTATTGTATTTATTCAACTGGACACGATACACTTTTATTACAGCGGCACACACAAATCTGGTGCAATCAATGTATAAAAGAGAGAAAGAAAAACAACTAAAAATAAGTAATTGTAATAATAAAATGTTATACATTATGCAGTGTTCTCCCTAGGAATTTTTAAAGGTGTAATGGGAATATGCGCGGGGACACCTCGTTCGGCACATATTCCACGATGCGGCAGTTGAAATAATCCTACTTTAAGGTCATTAAATTAATTATTAGGCCCAATAAATTGTTAGTTTATTACCCTCACACGCATGTATTCTATAGTACTCCAAAAAAACAAAAACAAAAAATTATTTTTATTTATTTTTTAAAAATATTTTTTTCATTTTTTAAAATTAAATAGTATATTGTTGGTACTATTTCAATCATGTTTTAATTGAATATCAATGCACCAGCAAACAAACCAAGGGTGATGTCTGGCTTAATCAAAATAAAAATTTTTAAAACTCAGCCTCCCCTTCCTCATCACTTCCACCCTAGATAGAACTAATAAAAATGTATAGGGCCTCCCCAGCCAGAAGAATACTTTAATTTTTTTTAAGGTATTTTATTTTTAAAAAAAATTGTAATAATAATTAATAAAATGTTATTCACATAGCAAAGTATGCACTTGACACTGTGACTTGTATTTAAAAATAAATGTGATGATTTTGGGAATTTAAATTCATGAGTAGTAGAATTATTTATTGGCTTAAATGAAATTTTCCATTTAGTTGTTTTTTATTTTGTTATAGTTTATTTTCTGTACTTAAGTTATAGGCTATTGCACCAAAAAAATAATTTTGACAGGTAACACACCTGTGTTAGGCCTAGGTATCTCTTGAAACGTTCTCAAACTCTGCTCAAACCGCCAAAGAGATACCTTATCAGAAGCATGCCATTTGGTTACCATGACAATAGACTGAGAGTTACCACGGCCAAACATGCGTGGCAGTTGTGTGGTGAGCCTTCTTGACATCGCAAATTTGCATGTACTACTAATACGTTAATAATAATTCACTAAAAAAATAAAACAACAATTAATAAACATTATATTGTGTAGAAATTTATTTATTACCATGTAGACATAATAATTTAGATTTAGATGAGGCCAACTTTCACTGCCTAGACTTGAGCAATGAGAATGTCTGAAGGTGTTGATGTTTATTTAGAAATAGAACACATAAAAACCTATGTCATCATGAGTATACATGGAACACAATTAATGAACTGTGTTTTAAAAGGTTAAATATAAAGAGTGATGTAGGCACAATGAATTTAAAAGGTAGGAATTAGTCAGGTAAACTTGTTTTCTGAATGAAGCTGTAACAGGGCCGTTACAGCTTATTGCCTTGGGGAGAACACTGATTATGACAAGTTATTGCCCTGGTTATTGTCTTTATCTAAATTTTACTAGTCAACTAATGCACTGATGCATAGTATACGCAGTAGTAGTAGCCTCAGAAAATTGTGAGTAACCAGCCGTGCACGAAGATAAAAGGATAGGCAGACTACTTAGGCCTAGATTTGATTTTATATTTAGGCCAGAATGTAATGCTGACTATACCATGGCACTTAAAGTATATTTGAAGTATGTTTGTGATTTGTAATGCTAATGTACCCACCCACCTTCACTTTAGCAAAGAAAACAGCGCTATTTTTAGAGTTTTGATGTAGTTCTATCTACAGAGCAGCGTACAAAGCGAATTCCAGCTTCATATAAGCATAGAGAAAGTATAGCCACATGTATGTATAAGAAAGAATAGGAGCTGCATAATAACATTATTTGAACCACCAGTATTTCTACGCACTCAAGTGGGCCAGTTGACCGTGCTAGTAGTAGTAGTAAACAATAGAAAATCATTCAAATGATCAACAAGCGACCAAACGATTTACCGTCGTCCAGACGCGAGCTGTAATTCAAGCTTGTAGCAAATGAATATTCATATAGCGTGGTAATTAGAATGGTTGATTTCTTAAACGCGTTTGTGATAGTGTGTTGACCTATACGCGTTTTTGCTGTCTGGAATAATTTGGCGATCGCGCCTACAGTAACTGTTAATGCACAATTCTGAATTGCTGGCACACTACTATCTCCTTACGTTTAGATGTATTCACTGCGCAATTAAAATACTCATACCAAGGACTTTTTTTCTTGCCCATATTCCTGACTGTAAAATAAGTCTGCATGGACGAATAAATTGACCCTAGAAATCCACCCACATATTTTGGAAAATAAAGGCTGTTTTCTACGCAATTTCTGTTGAAAATCAGGTATTGGCTTATAAGACGATATTTTTTTAATATCTTGTTTAGCACATATAATTTTTTTAGTATTTAGCGGCAGACGGGAGAAATATATAAATATTATTTTTTAATTTAGCAAAATTATCCTGCCAAAAGTAGAGGAGGGATAAAAAAAATCATCATAATTTCTTTATTTAAGTATTATTTCATATTCTAGAAAATATTTTCGAAAAACTCTTTCCATACTTTAAATTTCCCAAGCCTTCTCTCTATTATTACAAAATCAGCTTAATCGCGTCACAAATGAAGGCCCTGATAGAAATCGCGTCACAAATGAAGGCCCTGATAGAAAAAGAAATGACTTCTAAATTTGCTCAAAATCATAGTACAAGCCCTCTCCCTCAGGGAGTAGGCTGAAAACTGTAAAATCAAGGTGAACCTCATACATAGTAGGAATGGACATTAACACTACCTGGTCTACACTGAAATATTATTATTTATTGATTGTGGACTTACTTTAAAATATTCACTGGCCTATCCAAGCGGTAGAAGGTTAAATCGTGCTTGATTTGTTGTGGTGAAACGCACATGCACATGCTATCTAGAAGTTGCTCTTGCTGTGGTGTCATTTTATAGCAGTTTCCTGATTTTTGTAGTTTCGAGTGTCTGACTATGAATATTCATTATCATAGTACATCATTGTGATGAGACCATGGTCTGGTGAATTATGCAAATGAGTCAACTAGCAAACAGCCTGTAACACAAAAATAATATTAGATTTAATCAACAAATATTAAGACTTACATTAATTTTTTTTAAATGGTAAAAGTAAATGTGTAATATTAATTTAAATTAATTCTCCTTTAAATAACATTATTTTATAGGGTTTGTATTTATATATATATATTTAACACCAACATCAGTTGAATAAAACTTGATTATAACATATCCCAATGTAATTCTCTTCAACCTTCTCGTACAGCATTCTCATGGCATGGATAATACCTCCATACTATCAGATTGAAGTTTCATGATATTGGGTAAACATCATTTATAATGATATTGTATTGCATTGTATAGGTATATACATTGGTTATGACAATAAAAAATGCTCAGACCTTACCTGGAATAAAAAATTACTAAGCTTGGAAAATTTACTAGACATTTGGAAGTGTAGAAACCTTTCTCTCATAGGAAAAGTAACAATTTTTAAGTGTCTTGCACTATCGAAACTGATTTACAACGCTTTATTAATTGAAGTTCCAAATTATGTTTTCACAAAGGTCAATACACTTATATACAACTTTATTTGGAATGGGAAAAAATAAAAAAATAAAAGAAAAACATTAATAGGACCCACTGAACTTGGAGGTTTAAATGTACCAAACTTTAGCTTGCATGTCAAAGCCCTCAGTACAAATTGGGCAAGAAAACTTCTTAACAATGACATTGTCAAATGGAAATTAATTCCGTTATATTATATAAATAAACTTGCTTCTGAAATTGTATTGTTCAATATGTCAAATATTCATTTGTTACAAAACACATTGATAGAAAAGGTACCACAGTTTTATGTTATTGTAAATTAAAGCATCAGTTCAATACAATAGTATTACAAATAATCAAGTAAATAGCTATAGCGAGATTGCTGAGCAACCTCTATGGGGTAATAAACACATCAATGTAAATTAAAAAAAATCTTTGCTATTTAACAACTGGTACAATTCTGGCTTTTTAAAAATTAAAGACATTGTTATTAAAAATAGACTGTTGACGTCAAAAGAAATATTGGAAAAGTTGTTAAACAAAAGTAATTGGTTAAGTGAATATCTAAACACTGCTAAAATCAATCCCCAGAAAGTGGATTAAAATGATTAATAACTACATACAACCCAAAGCAAAGAAAGAAGCAGAGTTGACATTATACCGGAATTTAGTAAAAACTAATTCCAAGTATGTGTATAACTGCTATGTCAATGACGTTTATATTCACCCCAGCTCACAAGTTCAGTGGGAAAATGAATTTGACAATAATGATCCAATTGAATGGAATACTGTTTGGCTATGAAAAGTAAAACTCATAAAGGACTTTAAATATGCTCAATTTAATTTCAAATTGGAAAAAAACATGAAATGTTTATAATTTAAAAAAATAATTAATTTAATTAAATATTAGTGTAAAAAGGTATTTCAATGTTTACATAAAGTAATTACAGTAATTAGCAAGATTGTATCTGTTGTCTACGGCTGCTATAGCATGGGTCTACCGGTGCTATCCGCTGCGCGGTGGTTGATTTGCAATATAGACAGCTGCAGCTTAGGCTAGGCCGCTGGAAGTCCCCCAAAGTTGCGAAACGTTGACGGCGCTGTTTCAAAATATACCCGATAATATGGTGTTCGATCATTTCGGCCGCCACTCATTTCGGCCGCCGTGCCAAATGTATGGAACGTCAAAGAGGCCGCCGAATACAAACAGCCGCCAATGAGAAGAACGTACAGTAGTCATACAACAGCTGGATAAGTCAGCAAAGAGGAAAAAATATGTAAGCCTAGGCCTACAGTGAAACAACTTTGATGACATGAATAATATGGCGCCCCGTCAATAATGATTTCAAATCTCATACTAAAATTAAAGTTTTTTTTTAAATTTTTATTACGCTCACTGCTGCCTTGAAATCTCCAAATTGTATTTTCTTCCTTAGGCCTAGGCATATATATTAATATTATATTAATTTAAAGCATTTAACAATCTCTAATATGTTTTGTACAACATGATTAAATTAATTAAATACATTTGTTGATTTTGTTTGATGGTTGAGATGGTGACATGAATAAAAAGGGAAAATATTTACTGTATAGTATTATACAACTTCATTTCGTTTGCTGATGTTTGAATTTTATATTTATTTTTCTTGCATGATGACATGTTATTCACGCAAAAATATTTACTGTATAGTACACAACTTTATTTCATCACTTGTTGATATAATATTTTTAATTACATACATTTAACCATCCCATTACTACACTGTTTACCAATAAAACAAGATATAAAAGATACATGGTGTTATATTTTTTATTGTACAATGTGTGAAAGAGGAAAACGAGGTAAGATATTATTAAAATAAAAACTGTTACTTTTAACTATGCTAACACTGTGGAACTAACTACCAAAATGCATCATAACAAGAATGAAGATAGCCTTAAATACAAAAGAACTAAATAGATGAAAAGACACCATTGGTTTTATATTCTTGTTGTCTGTCTAAAGAGTACTATCATTCAAATGAGTGTGCCTACAGTAGTGCATTAAGTTGAAGACAACGCACATAAATTATTGTCTAATAAGATTGGACTTTGAATAAATAAAATGATTGAAATATTATTATACAGCTGTACTACACAATTCCTTATCTCTTTCAGCCCATCTCCAAGAGTATCTTGGCGGCCAGCGAAGTGCCCAATCATTTTGAATGTAGGCAGCAGAATTATCTCGCTGCAATCCCATGATTAAACAGTTATAATTAATTAGGAACTATTATTAACTTAAATAAACATGGATAATCATATCATAATTATGACATTAATAAATACTAGAATATGTTGACTTTATAATAATGTATGTATTACTTGTGTACTCGTATACTTAATGTACTAATTAGGCTTATAGACATTATCATGTGTTAAATGAAATATGATATTTATGTAAATTTGTTTATTTTTGTAAATATGCTTTATTATGTAAGTTTCACTTCAGTGTATAGTTAAATATTTACAGTGATTGTTACAACTTCAGTATCAATAAATGAAGACTATACCACAAAAAACTACTTATTCTCGGTATCCTAAAAAACTATTTGAGGAAAATTGAGCCACTGGTTACGGTTTTATAAACATTTGAAGTTTATGAGCGTGTGAATAGCAAGTTGCATGTTAACAATAATATTTCTGTCACTTTTTGCCATATATTTCTTTTAATTTTTGTAAATGCTAAAAAATAGTGTACATTTTGATTGTAAATTTTTACTGCAAATTACATTGGTCATGTAGCCTTAATACACAACCCGAAAAATTATAAATTTTTCAGATGACCTTTGACCCACAATTCCTGAAATTCGGGAAAAAAATGAAAAAAAAAAATTAATTAATTAAAAAAAATAAATAAATTAAAAAAAAGTCTCATTGTGCTTGCATTCTCAGAGTAATTGCTGTGTCCGACAAAATGTTGGCGCAATTTGTGACGGGCTTTAAAGGTGTATAAAATTTTGCAAACTATAATATAATAAAAACTATACAGTATAATAAATATAAATATATGAAAAAATTTATTACCAGAATTAATGTGGCCGTTACGCATGACGTCATCCTCTTGCAACAAAAACTAGCATTGTCTCACAATTCTCTCGAAATCATCCTATGTTTAATATCCACTTCAATCCTTAATATTAAACTATTTTTTTAGATAATCATAATAGCTAAAAGTATATTTTGATAGTTTAAGTATCATTTAGTTTACTTTTTGAACTCATATTTATTTTATTTACATGAAAAATATTGCCGACTATATGCAGCACATTCGTTATGGTTTACCCCATGTACACGATGGCCGATCAACAGCTGATCGTCCGTTTTGCGCCTTGTATTACATTCATATTTGGCAAATAAACTCTTAGATATATAAACTAATCTTCGTTATTAAAAAATTGAACTTTATTACTCGCAATTCCCTGGAAAAAACGATGAATTTTAATGAAATTTTCAAAAGTTGATAACTTTGATAAAAGTTGACCGATTTCAGAAAAAATCAAAATGGTGTACTACTTCAACCCCTGAGTAAACCTGATTGACGTGATGAAAACGTCTCAACCAATCAAAAAGCATTTTATATGAATATTTTCTTAAGGCCTTTGTTGACAAAAACACGCTTGGCTAAACTGGGCTAATGACACTAATTAAAGTGCGTGAAGTCACGCATCGTGTGGTGCCTACATTAGGCGTTATTATATTTTATTAACCACAAAAATAAATAAATATACCTAATGAAAAATACATAGGCATAATGCATTACATACGAATATGTAGGCCTATCTATGCCTACACACAGACAGACAGTTAAATAAAAAATGGTCAGATTATTAATAACATTTGTCTACGCTTCCGCATCCTGCAACAACCACACTACCAATACCAACGGAACTCTATTGAGTATTGACGCGCCATACTTTCTATTTGTTAAAAATTTGGCGGCCAAAATGATCTGAGACCCTGGGCTGCCACTGCTTCTCATGCCTTATGAACCTAGGCCGAACATGCCCTGTGCCGACTGGCCAGCCAGAATGCTTCTGTTCCCAGTCTGGTTCAGCTTAGTTCTACTAGCCTTGCATATAGGCCTAGGGCCTAGGACTACATAGGTAGGCCCCTAGGCTAGGCCTAGGTATGTAGGATAAGCTAGCCTAGGCCTAGCAGCAACAACTGTAATTTTTTAATGTGTTGAAGTCTACTTACAGATTGTTTAGCAAATCTTGTAGTAAAGATTGCTTTGCTTGTCCAAAAAAGTCAGAAATAGAGTGGCAGCCACAACTACAATAATTCAGAGAAAACGCCAAAAGCACATTTTATTCACCCTGCGAGCGCCCTCTGGGGATGCAGTCAATGGTCAGTTGAGTTGAGTTGAGCAAAGATACTAGCAAACTAGTACAGTACTATACGATCTTTGATACTAGAAATACCATAGAGATATAATAAGAATACTAGAGCGCTAACTGCAATGTATTCGATGTTCGATTATTATAATTATAATTATAAATTGTACACCGCGATGCGCTATGACGACGTACGGTATTGGAGGGCGTTGCTGTGCAGTAAATTGCAACACATCATACAACCAGTGTCATACTATCGATTTCCAAAGGATAGAGAAAGGTAAAATATTGCACTAACATTAAACCAAAAATTATCTATATATATTATAAATATATATTAACATTTTGTTTTTTTAAACTTGACATATGAATTAGCCTAGGCCTATTGACTTACGTAGCTAAGATATTGAAGAAAAATAAATAAATAATTAGACTAGCCTAAAATAATGAAAAAAGTACTAAATATTACTCGTTCGTATAATAACGCTAGTATTGTATGCAGTTATTTATGAATGACGTGAAAATGGAGCTCTTTTGGTAAAGGAAATTTAATAATATTAATACAGGTCTAACTCTAATTACTTAGACCACTTTTAGACAGGGATTTCCATGCTCTACCAACCTAGCATAGCCTATATCCGCTTTTTAGTCTCTAATTATAATAATAAAGCTAATTTTTTTTTACTTAATCTGGGACCAAAGTCTAAGTAATAATAAAAACTCTAAGTAATAATACCATCATATTTTTTTTTTAAGGAATGGGCCTTGGTAAAAGTGATCAAGTCGTCTAGCCTATTATTATATAGGAAGGCAGAATAAATAACTGTGATCACAGAAAATTTTCATATAATTTTCGCTTGGAAGACTATTAATATTTTAGGTAGTCCTAAGCCTACTCCTACATCAATTCTCGGCATTCATAAAAAAAAAGAATTTAATTCCTATGAATCAGTACTTTGTTGTATTCAATGTCAATAATAATGGGTTGGAAAAGCATTGAAATCCTGAGCTAATAGGCCTACCAATAGTATGGATCAATAAAGCACAAGAATTCATAATGATGACCCGGTTATTTTGCGCTTCTTTACCGACGTCCCGTACCGGTATTATGAGTTTTTACCAATCACTTTTTATTTACTAGATATAAAAACAAACTGGAATAGACACCCAGACAGACATCGGTGAATACATAACCTCCTTGGTGGCGGTAGAAATCGTTGCTATTATCCAAATAAAACACAAAACAATTAAAGCATAATCATGAATCAGTAAAGAATAACAACAATACAGCGCAGAATCGTATGGCCGGACGCACTCTTAGTAAAAAAGTTTCCCCCCATTAGTGGAAAAGGAAGGGCGCCTTTTGCGTCTGGATATACTTAGCAACAGAAAACGAAGTATAGAAAATTTGCATGGTTAAAAAGAAGGACGCTGCCTATGGAACGCCGTTACTGCCTTTGATGGCTCTTTTCCGTTCGGCGCATTTGCTATTCGGCCCTTTTAACATTACGTTCGGTGCTTTTACATTACGTTCGGTGCTTTATACATTACGTTCGGTGCTTTTACATTACGTTCGGTGCTTTTTACATTACGTTCGGTGCTTTTTACATTACGTTCGGTGCTTTTATTAACATTACATTCGGTGCTTTGAAACATTACGTTCGGTGCTTTTATCATTACGTTCGGTGCTTTTGCCACATTTACGGATCTTTTATCATTTGGTGCTTTTTAGTTTTACCTTTCGGCCCTTTCATCATTACTTACGGTTCTTTTATCATTCGGTGCTTTCATGACCTTTGACTTCGGGTCAAGTGGAAAAAATCCACGGCTGTGGGAACAAGCCTAGTGGAACTTGCGCGCTCCTCTCTTTCTTCTCTTTCATTTTTTTTTCTTTTCTTCTTTCAACTTCTTAGTTTCATTACTGTTACGCTATATTATATTCATGTTTTGAAACACAGGTGGGCACGCATTCTTCATATAATATATATATATATATATATATATATATATACATATATATATATACATATACATACACATATACATATAT